AGTATGACTGTGATGAAGGACAAGAAGGATAGTCTGACTGTGATGAAGGACAGGAAGGAGAGTCTGACTGTGATAAAGGACAGAAAGGAGAGTCTGACTGTGACGAAGGACAGGAAGGAGAGTCTGACTGTGATGGAGGACAGGAAGGAGAGCCTGACTGTGGTGAAGGACAGGAAGGAGAGCCTGACTGTGGTGAAGGACAGGAAGGAGAGCCTTACTGTGATGAAGGACAGGAAGGAGAGTATGACTGTGATGAAGGACAGGAAGGAGAGTATGACTGTGATGAAGGACAGGAAGGAGAGTCTGACTGTGATGAAGGACAGGAAGGAGAGTATGACTGTGATGAAGGACAGGAAGGAGAGTCTGACTGTGATGAAGGACAGGAAGGAGAGTCTGACTGTGATGAAGGACAGGAAGGAGAGCCTGACTGTGATGAAGGACAGGAAGGAGAGTATGACTGTGATGAAGGACAGGAAGGAGAGTCTGACTGTGATGAAGGACAGGAAGGAGAGTCTGACTGTGATGAAGGAGAGGAAGGAGAGTCTGACTGTGATGAAGGACAGGAAGGAGAGTCTGACTGTGATGAAGGACAGGAAGCAGAGTCTGACTGTGGTGAAGGACAGGAAGGAGAGCCTGACTGTGATGAAGGACAGGAAGGAGAGCCTGACTGTGATGAAGGACAGGAGTGAGAGTCTGACTGTGATGAAGGACAGGAAGGAGAGCCTGACTGTGATGAAGGACAGGAAGGAGAGCCTGACAGTGATGAAGGACAGGAAGGAGAGCCTGACTGTGATGAAGTAGAGGAAGGAGAGTCTGACTGTGATGAAGGACAGGAAGGAGAGTCTGACTGTGATGGAGGACAGGAAGGAGAGCCTGACTGTGATGAAGGCCAGGAAGGAGAGTCTGACTGTGATGAAGGACAGGAGGGAGAGTCTGACTGTGATGAAGGACAGGGAGGAGATCTAGAGTCTGACTGTGATGAAGGACAGGAAAGAGAGTGTGACTGTGATGAAGGACACGAAGGAGTGCCTGACTGTGATGAAGGACAGGGAGGAGTGCCTGACTGTGATGAAGGACAGGAAGGAAAGCCTGACTGTGATGAAGGACAGGAGGGAGAGTCTGACTGTGATGAAGGACAGGAGGGAGAGTCTGACTGTGATGAAGGACAGGAAGGAGAGTATGACTGTGATGAAGGACAGGAAGGAGAGTCTGACTGTGATGAAGGACAGGAAGGAGAGTCTGACTGTGATGAAGGACAGGAAAGAGAGTCTTACTGTGATGAAGGACAGGAAGGAGAGCCTGAGTGACGAAGGACAGGAAGGAGAGTCTGATTGTGATGAAGGGCAGGAAGGAGAGTCTGACTGACGAAGGACAGGAAGGAGGGTCTGACTGACGAAGGACAGGAAGGAGAGTCTAATTGTGATGAAGGGCAGGAAGGAGAGTCTGATTGTGATGAAGGGCAGGAATGAGAGTCTGACTGACGAAGGACAGGAAGGAGAGTCTGATTGTGATGAAGGGCAGGAAGGAGAGTCTGACTGTGATGAAGGACAGGAAGGAGAGTTTGACTGTGATGAAGGACAGGAGGGAGAGTATGACTGTGATGAAGGACAAGAAGGAGAGTCTGACTGTGATGAAGGACAGGAAGGAGAGTCTGACTGTGATAAAGGACAGAAAGGAGAGTCTGACTGTGACGAAGGACAGGAAGGAGAGTCTGACTGTGATGGAGGACAGGAAGGAGAGCCTGACTGTGGTGAAGGACAGGAAGGAGAGCCTGACTGTGGTGAAGGACAGGAAGGAGAGCCTGACTGTGATGAAGGACAGGAAGGAGAGTCTGACTGTGTTGAAGGACAGGAAGGAGAGCCTGACTGTGATGAAGGACAGGAAGGAGAGTCTGACTGTGATGAAGGACAGGAAGGAGAGTCTGACTGTGATGAAGGACAGGAAGGAGAGTCTGACCGTGATGAAGGACAGGAAGGAGAGTGTGACTGTGATGAAGGACAGGAAGGAGTGTCTGACTGTGATGAAGGACAGGAATGAGAGCCTGACTGTGATGAAGGACAGGAAGGAGAGTATGACTGTGATGAAGGACAGGAAGGAGAGTCTGACTGTGATGAAGGACAGGAATGAGAGTGTGACTGTGATGAAGAACAGGAAGCAGAGTCTGACTGTGGTGAAGGACAGGAAGGAGAGCCTGACTGTGATGAAGGAGAGGAATGAGAGCCTGACTGTGATGAAGGACAGGAGGGAGAGTCTGACTGTGATGAAGGACAGGAAGGAGAGCCTGACTGTGATGAAGGACAGGAAGGAGAGCCTGACTGTGGTGAAGGACAGGAAGGAGAGCCTGGCTGTGATAAAGGAGAGGACGGAGAGCCTGACTGTGATGAAGGACAGGAAGGAGAGTCTGACTGTGGTGAAGGACAGGAAGGAGAGTCTGACTGTGGTGAAGGACAGGAAGGAGAGCCTGACTGTGATGAAGGACAGTAGGGAGAGTTTGACTGTGATGAAGGACAGGTAGGAGAGTCTGACTGTGATAAAGGACAGGAGGGAGAGTCTGACTGTGATGAAGGACAGGACGGAGAGTCTGACTGTGATGAAGGACAGGAAGGAGAGCCTGACTGTGATGATGGACAGGAAGGAGAGTCTGACTGTGATGAAGGGCAGGATGGAGTGTCTGACTGTGATGAAGGGCAGGATGGAGTGTCCGACTGTGATGAAGGACAGAAAGGAGAGCCTGACTATGATGAAGGATAGGAAGGGGAGTCTGACTGTGATGAAGGACAGGAAGGAGTGTCTGACTGTGATGAAGGACAGGAAGGATTGTCTGACTGTGATGAAGGACAGGAAGGAGAATCTGATTGTGATGAAGGACAGGAATAAGAGTCTGACTGTGATGAAGGACAGGAAGGAGTGTCTAACTGTGATGAAGGACAGGAAGGAGTGTCTGTTTAGTTTCGTTAATCAGATATATTTCGGTTTGCCACTATATATGAATAAATAAATCAGTTGTACTCTGAAGTAAATTTAATTTCAATAAGCCAGTTTAAGTTTTTGATGCTCTCAATAAATCTGCTTGTTTCAAACTTCGAATGATTTTTTTTTCTTTTTGCTTTCAAGTAATTGGTCTAATTCCATTATTCTATTTGACAGGGACGCTAGCGATGACATCTTGGATCAATGGTATCAAAGCCACTAACGTGACGTCACGTCAAAGATGTAATTGCATACATGGCGTCATTATGTTGTTGTAACGTCACAAATGTTCAATTATGTTATCAACGACATTACGCGGCTAGACATGGGTTAACTTGTCTGCAGGCAGTGGCAAGATATGGGTTATCTGGCTGTGGACTCCTGATATGGACAGGATTTCGCTGTTGTCGGGGTGGCAAAAAATACCTATCAGGACAGATACATAGACTAATTGTGTTAACTGATAAAAGCTAAAAAGGCAATGTCTGAAATGGTTGTATATGAACAACCTAGTACAATACATGATTTAACCTAACAACTTTGATATATCAGTTTACAATGTACAGCGTAAGGCTTCACATCCAAAGCATGGTTCATATACCACCACGTACATGCCAAGTACATTTTTTGTCACTGTTTATAATTTCTTTTTGGTTTACATGTAAGTTTAAGCCTGTACAAAATTATATATATTGAAACAATTCTGTGTGATTAATTGTAATTCTGTTCCGTTTCGTTATTTGAGCACACTTTGTGATACCACACAAGGCAAAATAAGGAAAATCTTGACATCGGTATGATACCACACAAGGCAACAAGGAAGGAATTGAAAGATTAATGGTACCACATACGGCATTATAGGGAAAGTCCGGAAAGATTAAGGAAACCACACACAAAGAGAATCTCACCCGAGTGTCTTTGATATCAAATATATCAACACGAGTTGATAAAAGTGGAAAAAACTTGCCATCGAGTTTTTCTACTTTTATCAACTTTTACAAAGTAGATATCGCTTGATCTCACACAAGTGATATCTCCTTTGGAAGCCAGTTTTAGATGATAAAGTATGATAAGCAGAATCTGGAAAGAGTTTATTCCATACCTAACCAAACAGATAGTGCAAGCAACAAACAGCGAGATAGCAGCGGTCTGTAAATAATCGAGTCGGGATCAGACAATCTGGTGACTGAATTAAGCATTGATGTACGCGATTTGAATACGATGACATGCATACTTTCAGAATTTGGCCTGATTTAATAGGAGAATATTGACGTGGCTGGCGTGATAGTCCCTCAAAACTCCTAAATTGGGACCTAGAAAAAGAAAATAGTTTTCGACGAAATTCGCGAATTATTCTCGAATTATAGACAATCGTTAATTCATCGCGGAGTTTTCGCAAATTTACTGCAGAACACGAACCGAACTGATGCGTTGTGATGTACGTCTAAGTACACATGCATTGTATATGTATAACTTAAACGTTGACTCTGATTCATCTTGTCCTGTTTGTGCAAGAAAAGGATAAGTATCCAACTTATGAATGGTGGTCTAGTACTACGTATGTGCGTTAATTATGTCCAATCTGTGCTGTAACAATATATTAACGTTTTGCTGTGAGGGAGTGAGTTGGGTTTAACGCCGCTTTTAACAGTATTCCAGTTATATCACGGCGTGTCAGCTTAATGTTGGAGGAAAGCCCGAAGTGATGCAGGTCTCAGACGTTTACCACTTCGGTGAAACCCACGAGCACGGGTATGGTGCTGACAAACCTAGAAACATAATCGGGGTGAACCCACTATCATAGATTTCTGGAACGCAACTCAGCACAGCGAATCGCGGCGGCTCAGACGACTGAGCTACCCGTGCCCTCTTGACGTTTCGGAAGACATTCATTCACAACATGGTACTTTTCAGGTAACTTAACAAATAATGAAGAAAAGTTATATATCAGGGTATGTAAGCGACAATCGTATATCCCATAGTTATTACATAATCCACCTGTTATAGAGTTTAGGACGGTTGATGCTTACCTGTCGGAGAAGAATTCAACTCACACAACTGTAAGCAAACAAAAAAATGTCCTTGTGTATGAATGTGTGTGTACATGTTTCGGTGGTATTGGCGTTCAATCCCAACTTCCTTGTCTGGGTCATGTTGTTATCAGTGCAGATTAAAAAATGTAGGACATGTTAGCTTGCAATCGCTACACGAACAGCGTTTATCAGGTTTGACACGAGTTAACAAACAAATGCCCGGTTGTACATGCAGATCATATTGAGTACTAGTGCGGGAGGTATGAGAGTTTCCTCGTACACAACTGCTATCTGTTTGTTTGTTGTTTAATGCAGCACTCAGCAATATTCCAGCTATATGACGGCGGTCTGTAAATAATCGAATCTGGACCAGACAATCCAATGACTGACATCACGATATGTCTTCACGGGACTCCAACTTGCTGTTATTTACATCAACGACTACCAGATTACAGCTATTGGCGCTTTCAATCTAACGTAGTTAAGAGAGAGAAGTAGAGTGCGTGAGTGAGTGAGTGAGTGAGTTGGGTTTAACGCCGCTTTTAACAGTATTCCAGTTATATCGCGGCGTGTCAGCTTAATGTGGGAGAAAAGCCCGAAGTTATGCAGGTCTCAGACGTTTACCACTTCGGTGAAACCCACGAGCATGGGTATGGTGCTGACAAACCTAGAAACATAATCAGGGCGAACCGGGGTCGAATCCACAATCATAGGTTTCTGGCGTGCCCAAAGGACGCAACTCTGCACAGCGAATCGCAGCGCCTTAGACGACTAGGCCCCCCGTGCCCCCCGAGAGAAGTAGAAAAGCAGCAGCGTGTCCCAATGGATCATATGACTTCGTCGAAATAATTGTAAACAGCAATGAATGAAGTTTTGAATAAAATTAATAACATAGACAACAAACTTAAGTCCAGATATACAATAAACATTCTTTATAACCAGATAGTTTAATAACGGAATTACCATGCGTACTTTGTCAAATCCCTCCCGCCAAACTTGTTTTAAAAAAATTGGATGGGAATCTAGTAATTAATTCATCATGTACGACAGCCAAATTTAATATAAACGGGGAAGAAATCATCAAAATTGTACAACAAATAAATTATGTAAAGTTGATAAGACATTATTTCTGCATTATAACAATAACAATTTTGTTCACTGATATCCTAATTAGTTCTGATTATTTATCTTTATATTTTGAACATGAGTAAATTATTTGATAAAATTTGTGTCTGCATGGCTGCATGCACAAAATAAAATTAAATATTTAAATCTATTTTTAGCGTTTTATAACGATGTTTAACCGAGATACATGTTCCGTAAGATGTAGGGTAATGAAGTGTGGTTAAAAAGGTAATGAAGTAATAATTTTAGGGCTACTTTCTGGTGGACGTCCTGTTCAAAACACTGACATAAATAACGAAATAAATTATGCAACTACAAAGAAACAGAATAAATCTTCCGATTTGCGCCAGTATCTAAGGACTTTGTTATATACTTAATGGAGTAATTTGTACTGGAAAATGGATAAATTGTGAATTTCTCGCATGCCGCCATTTTCTTGGGATGTTGCACGATGTTTCCGTTCGTTAATTCGCAAAATGTCAACGTATACATATACTTACTTATATTTAACAAATGTACTTTGCAAATCAGGAAAACTGACATAATTCAACGTTTATATGTGACGGTTTGGAAGGCTGATTAGTCGATTCACGAAATTCTCGTAAATCTGAGAATCTCCTACAGTCTCGCGTGAAACTGCCGCTTGGTCTCGCGCTAGTGATCGGTCTCCAACTTGCCCTAAGGCACGTCCCTCGGTACTCTGGTCTCTGGTCGAATGTACTGTTATCGACGTCCAGCTGTACATAAGTGCTTGGCACTGAAATACGTTTGTGTCATAAATACTAAAATACATACTCAATCATACTATCTTTAAGAATAAACATAAGTAACCTTACCAAAAATAAAAATTTGGCCGCCGGTCTCTATGAGATACTAAACGCATCTGTTATAGCTCAATACAACGGTACATCAAGCTACATTCAACCAATGCGTTTCGAACATACATGATACAGGAGTGAGTGAGTAAGTATGGTTTTACGTCGCTTTTAGCAATATTCCAGCAAAATCATGGCGGGGCACACCAGAAATGGGCTTCACACATTGTACCCATGTCGGGAACCAAACCCGGGTTTTCGGAGTGACGAGCGAACGCTTTAACCACTAGGCTACCCGACCGGGTGAATGAATGAATATTGTTTTACGTCGCTTCAGCAATTTTTGCAGCTATTCACGGCGTGATAGTTGGAAAAGAACAACGAAAATACCCCCTGGTTAGGACTTAAGGAAGCTCCGAAACTGATGGCAGGTTTGATAGCCGTTGTGAGTCGTCACCAAAACGCAAAAGAGAACAGTATTTAAAAACACGTTATTACACGTGCAAAGTACGAAAACTGCAACGTTATGGCATTCAAAGGCAATCCCCATAATCGCTGTTGCCGCCTAAAAGGAATAGCACTGAGGACGCAATGAGGAAGGGGAGCGTGCCGTAATCCTTTCGTCATATGGGGAAGGCTCATGCCACTGGTCGGCACATGTGCCGTTAAAAATGTCAGTGAGCTGAGTGAGTGAGTGAGTATGGGTTTACGCCGAACCCGGTCTTCAGCATGACGAGCGAACGCTTTAACCACAAGGCTACCCGACCGCCCTGTCAGTTAGCTGACCCACATCACTATGTTATTGTTTATATCCCCTTTCAGCAACAGCTGTGTTGTGGCGCGACTGTCCTTCATCTGATAGAACCGTTGTTCACGAGACATAGACTTACACAGGCTTTCCCAAAAGCATTGACAAAATTTCTGTGTCTAATTATAGTACTTATTCACATATATTATACTTATTCACATGTTACATTATGTGTCTAGTACATACTAGCTAGTATATATCACCCTGGTCATTCATATAAACTGAACTGCAAAAGAAACGTCACCCCAAGTAGTGAGTGAGTGAAAAGTTGTCATTTAAATATCTGGGTAATTTTTGTCAAAGTTTCTAAAATTTAACATTACCTTGTCCGGAAAAATGAAATTTGATGATAAAAAACAAAGGAGATGACAATAAAACCGATCGCCCAAACGTATCACGGCAACGGCCAATTTAACCCGATGCACGTGAGTTCCCTGCAAATTGAAATGCACATGCGTTCCCCCATTTCTTGCCCTTTAAAAATCCACCCAGATCGGATAACATTCATTTGTTATTGAATTGCTACCACATGCCAAGATTGACAAGAAATCAGCGACACCCAGCCCTTGCATGATTGCAAGCCGGCAAGTAGCCAGTGCATTTCAGGTCCACCTAAGGACCATATACAGGCACCCGCAAAAACGGTACCAGACCACAACACTACAGATGACCGACCAAGTAGTGGAAGACCAAGGGTCACCAGATCGTCAGATTGTGCGAAAGCATCTTCAAGATCGCTTTGTTACTGCTGCAGAAACTGCTCGACAGACCATGGGGACGATTGACGAGCAGACACCTCCACTGTCACAGGCCACACCGAGCACCCATGTCGGGAATCGAACCCGGGTCTTCGGCGTGACGAGCGAACGCTTTAACCACTAGGCTACCCGACCGCCCCGATAGGCATTTAGAAGTTGGAGTACTAAGTAAGGATTAGAATTTATGGATGTACAACTTCTTTATTACAATTAAGAGTGACGTTTCGTTGTAGGTTCTAACACCGTCATCAAGCAATATACAAGAATATGTGTTCTTTAAATTTGGCTAAATTTGTCAATAATCGCCAACACCTGAACGGATGATGTAAATCCGGCTAGGACCCATGCAGAAAGTTAAAGTACTGTAAGTCCCCATGGTCCCTAGTATGGTAATCTACCTCAGTTGCTGGCGATCTATAGCCCGTTTTTATATTGTTATGTTGTGTACAGTGCTATTCTTTTAATGATTACATACTAGTTTTAAATATTTCTCTGTCGTAAGTCTAGTTATTTTACTGCCATTTGTTGGCAGGTTTTTATACGTTTCAAAGTATTTTTACTCTTTAACCCTTGATAGTCACGATATGGCTGAAATATTGCCTATGTGACTCACTCACTCACTCACTTACCTTAATGGAGATTGACGCTATATGTTTCTTTTAGTACTCATAAATGTAAGTGGATTTACACCACTCAGTGTCCTGGAGTCTTGAGCAATAGAATACAAGGTGTTCTTTTGACCACTTGTTGATTTCACACTTTCTACCTTTGTCTACAGAATGAAGACATATAGCACAGAAAAGAGTTCGCCACGTGTAAGAGTTTATTTGTTAAAGTTGATGGAATATTCAAGTGCAAACTGTGTCCTGAATCAACGTCACGACGGTTCAATATCAAGGAAGGACAAATAAACAAGCACACACAAAATGCCGTGTAAGTTGGGAGTATGTATAAATTGGTGTTTGTTCTTAAACTAATAATGAGTGGTGCGTGACATTACGTAAATGTATAAAACCGTGTCCGTACACAACCTCAAAAGCACAACGCAAGTCATCTGACATAATAGTCCGTATTTGTGTCCTTGCAGATGCGTGGGTGTTAAGCTGCTCTTTGGATTGTACTCCCAGACAAGACCGGCGCAATATTTCCACTGTCCGTGTGGTAAACTCTTCCTGAGAAAGTTCATTTTTGTTCGATAGACGACCACGGTTTGCCTTTTTGTTCTGAGGAAAGGACTACTGCAGAGTCCCCTAACGTCCAAAAAGTGAAGAGAGAGCAAGTTCCAAAAGAGACATGTTTTGTCTGCAATGTAATCATCTCTAAGAAAAAACATTTAAAGACATGCGGAGACCCACAATGCACGTTATGAAGTGAAAAACAAGTCATGCCAACGTGGAATATGCATTGATAAATACCCTGGTCTCTACATGATCAGCAAGTCTAGCATCGGTCTAGATTACCCTTTGCACGTACAAATGAACGCTGTCACACAGCAAATGCAATGTGAACATGTAAATTGCAATGTAGCTTTGCGTGTTGCAGCAAGGGTAATGTAGGTATTTATCAGTGCCCTCATTTGC